AATCCATCCCCCTAGGAGCATGCGCGTAGTACTTGAATTTTTGATGACTTCTAAATTTTTGCAATAAGTATATGAGTTCTTTTGACTAATGTTGAGTCCATGGATTATACGCACTCTCACCTTTCCACCTTTGCTAGCCTCTTCGGTACCGTGCATTGCCCTTTCTCACCTTGAGAGTTGGCGCAAACTTTGCCGGTGCATCCAAACCCCGTGATACGATACGCTCTATCACACATAAACCTCCTTATATCTTCCTCAAAACAGCCACCATACCTACCTATTATGGCATTTCCATAGCCATTCCGAGATATATTGCCATGCAACTTCCATCATCATCATCATGACATACATTACTTTTGTCATATTGCCATTGCATGATCATGTAGTTGACATCGTATTTGTGGCAAAGCCACCATGCATTATTTTTCATACATGTCACTCTTGATTCATTGCACCATCCCGGTACACCGCCGGAGGCATTCATATAGAATCATATCTTGTTCTAAGTTTCGAGTTGTAATCTTTGTGTTGTAATCAATAGAAGTGTGATGATCATCATTATTAGAGCATTGCCCAAAAAAACAGAAAGGCCAAAAAAAGAAAAAAGGCCCAAAAAAAAAGAAAATAAAAAGGGCAATGCTACTATCTCTTTTTCCACACTTGTGCTTCAAAGTAGCACCTTGTTCTTCATATAGTGAGTCTCATATATTGTGCTTCAAAGTAGCACCTCGTTCTTCATGTAGTGAGTCTCATATATTGTGCTTCAAAGTAGCACCTTGTTCTTCATGTAGTGATTCTCATAAGTTGTCCTTTTTATAGTAGTGGGAATTTTTCATTATAGAACTTGGCTTGTATATTCCTACAATGGGCTTCCTCAAATGCCCTAGGTCTTCGTGAGCAAGCAAGTTGGATGCACACCCACTAGTTTTCTTTTGTTGACCATTTATAGCTCTAGTGCATCCGTTGCATGGCAATCCCTACTCCTCATGTTGACATCAATTGATGGGCATCTCCATAGCCCGTTGATTAGCCTCGTCAACGTGAGACTTTCTCCTTTTTTGTCTTCTCCATACAATCCCCATCATCATATTCTATTCCACCCATAGTGCTATATCCATGGCTCACGCTCATGTATTGCGTGAAAGTTGAAAAAGTTTGAGATTATTTAAGTATGAAACAATTGCTTGGCTTGTCATCGGGGGTATAGAAGTTGGGAACATCTTTGTGTGATGGAAATGAAGCATAGCCTAACTATATGATTTTGTAGGGATGAACTTTCTTTTGCCATGTTATTTTGAGAAGACATGATTGCTTTGATTAGTATGCTTGAAGTATTATTATTTTTGTGTCAATATGAACTTTTGTCTTGAATCTTTCGGATCTGAATATTCATATCACAATTAAGAGGATTTACATTGAAATTATGCCAAAGTATCACCCGCATCAAAAATTCTTTTTTATCATTTACCTACTCGAGGACGAGCAGGAATTAAGCTTGGGGATGCTTGATACATCTCCAACGTATCTATAATTTTTGATTACTTCATGCTACTTTGTCTACTGTTTTGGACTATATTGGGCTTTATTTTCCACTTTTATATTACTTTTGGGACTAACCTATTAACCGGAGGCCCAGCCCAGAATTGCTGTTTTTTGCCTTTTTCAGTATTTCGAAGAAACAGAATATCAAACGGAGTCCAAACGGAATGAAACCTTCGGAATCGTGATTTTCCAACCGAACGTGATCCAGGAGACTTGGACCCTACTCCAAGCAGCGCCAGAGGCGGTCACGAGGGTGGAGGGCGCGCCCCCTGGGCGCGCCCCCCTACCTCGTGGGCCCCTCGGAGCTCCACCGACGTACTCCTTCCTCCTATATATACCTACGTATCTCCGAACGATCAGAACATGAGCCAAAAACCTAATTCCACCGCCTCAACTTTCTGTATCCACGAGATCCCATCTTGGGGCCTGTTCCGGAGCTCCGCCGGAGAGGGCCGTCATCACGGAGGGCTTCTACATCATCATAGCCCCTCCGGTGAAGTGTGAGTAGTTTACTTCAGACCTTCGGGTCCATAGTTATTAGCTAGATGGCTTCTTCTCTCTTTTTGGATCTCAATACAATGTTCTCCCCCTCTCTCGTGGAGATCTATTCGATGTAATCTTCTTTTTGCGGTGTGTTTGTTGAGACCGATGAATTGTGGGTTTATGATCCAGTATTATCTATGGAAAATATTTGATTCTTCTCCGAATTCTTTTATGTATGATTGAGTTATCTTTGCAAGTCTCTTCGAATTATCTTTTTGGTTTGGCCAACTAGATTGGTAGTTCTTGCAATGGGAGAAGTGCTTAGCTTTGGGTTCAATCTTGCGGTGTCCTTACTTAGTGACAGAAAGAGTTGCAAGGCACATATTGTATTGTTGCCATCGAAGATAACAAGATGGGTTTTTTATCATATTGCATGAATTTATCCCTCTACATCATGTCATCTTGCTTACGGCGTTACTCTGTTTTTACTTAATACTCAAGATGCATGCTGGATAGCGGTCGATGAGTGGAGTAATAGTAGTAGATGCAGAATGGTTTCGATCTACTTGTTTTGGACGTGATGCCTATATACATGATCATTGCCTAGATATACTCATAACTATGCTCAATTCTGTCAATTGCTCAACAGTAATTTGTTCACCCACCGTAGAATACTTATGCTCTTGAGAGAAGCCACTAGTGAAACCTATGGCCCCCGGGTCTATTCTCATCATGTCAATCTATATCACTTTATTTACTTGCTTTGTTTTACTTTGCCTTTTACTTTTTTACTTCGCATCTATCTATCGAAAATACCAAAAATATTATCTCTATCAGATCTCACTCTCGTAAGTGACCGTGAACGGATTGACAACCCCTAAGCATTGGTTGCGAGTTGCTATCGTTTTGTGTAGGTACGAGGGACTTGTGCGTGGTCTCCTACTGGATTGATACCTTGGTTCTCAAAAACTGAGGGAAATACTTACGCTACTTTACTGCATCATCCCCTCCTCTTCGGGGAAATCCAACGCAGTGCTCAAGAGGTAGCACTCTAAGAGATGTAGTTTTTGTGATCACGACGAGACCATCAAACACCTCTTTCTGGATTGTCCCATGGCGAAGGTTCTTTGGCGGACTGTTCACATTGCTTTTAATATTACTCCTCCGAATAATATCAACACGTTATTTGGGACGTGGCTGGATGGGATAGAGACCCAAACAGCAAAACACATTCGTGTAGGAGTATGTGCTTTACTTTGGGCAGTCTGGAACTGCAGGAATGATTTGGTTTTTAACAGAACAACAAATACTCAAATTTTGCAGGTTATCTTCCGAGCTACTACGTTGATCCGTATGTGGTCGCTACTCACTCAGATGGAGGTCAGGGAGCATTTGGTTACTGGATCTACCCGATGGGAGATGGTAGCTCGGGCTTTATTCAGCCGGTTTGGATGGCGGTCATGTAATAGGATAGGCAATTAGTTTTCCTATCTTTATTTTGCATGCCGGCTGTGGCTTTTATTTTCCGCTCTTTGTGAGACGTTTGGTGACTAGTTTGTAACGGAGTTCATAACCTTTGTTGGACCTATTTGCTTTTAATAAATGTAGCTGTATGCATCTTTCTGATTCAGAGGTTGGGGTTGCGCCCCTTTTCCAACAAAAACACCCACCATCAAAAACTTAGCAATAAAAATAAAAAAACTGAAACTTTGCAACTTCAGTTATCACCAAATGTTTATTTATTTATTTATTTTATTGTTTATTGCATGTGTGCACAAAACTTTGGTGAAGCCACTACTTTCCCCTTCACGGGAGTATGTAAGCACAATGAATGGGCAAATTCATTTTTTTATAGAGAGTGCTTTTTATTAACTCCAAATGTAGCATTAAGTGGATACAAAGCATGATGAGCAACACCTGGTCTTTGCATAACTAAGACGCAGACAACAAAAACATCAACAGACAAAATAAAATGAAAAACCGACATATCAGCAAAGTAGAGTCATATAGAACCGATACTCTGCCTATGTCGAAGGAGGTGGTGGACCGATATGGAGATTATGCTGCCACTCATGTTGACCAAAAACCTTCGAGGCTACCCGCTCCAACCGCATACACACCGCCTTGAACAATCGTCGGTACTCCCTCCGGAGATTATGCTGCCAGAATGAATGGCCACATTCATAGATCGAAGTAAACTATAAATTTTAAATTGGACAGATTGTCAAGCTCATCGAGTAGTTAGGAACAAATTGTGGAGTAGCTACACCACATAGCGTACAATGGTTTGATCATTGCATAAGTACATCCCTTCCTCCTTAACTTTTACATGGCTGGTCCTCCTCCTTTCTCCGGGCTTGGAACCGGCTACGCGGCAATATGTGTCGCCTTAGAATTGGCATAGGCGGAGTTCCCAACCAACACCCCATACCCAGAACACCACCAAAAGAAAAAGACACATTTGTATAACAACTAGGAACATAATTTTTTGTAGGCTTTTTCTCCTGTTTTTTAACTCGGCCAAATAATAAGGCATGGGACTACTCCCACTAGACGAGCAACTCGATCCATTTTAAACATAGTTTTCCACTAAAGGAGACACTAAATTTTTTTGCACTTTTTATTTTGGAAAATAAGTAAGCAACATATATAAAGACCTATCCCTTGAGCTAGGAAACAGGTAACATAGCACTCGAAGTCCATAAGTAAATAACTGTTTTCCTTTTCCTTTTTTTCTTCTTGTTTTTCCTCCAAGCAAGAACTAAGCTCATGGAATGAGGATCAGGTGGTCCTGAAGCTGGTGACATGGTTCACATCGAAGCCTTCAGTACACAGAACTCACCTGTAAAATGATGTGTTGCGAAATGTAAGCAATCATGCATGGTTAGTAAACAAAACAGACATGCATGTATTTGTATTAACGTATGCATACTGTCTAAACCTTTAAATATTTATGTATTACACATACCCGATCATTATTTTAAGATATGAAGGCTTGGACTGTTGGGATGTTGGTCCAGTCCACGCCTCACTGCTTCACACATCACCTCGACGTCATCAAGGGGTCTCACTTCCACTTTCTCAAGTGAAAGGAGGTTCCCCAACATGGAGTTAACAAAGTAATTTTCAAAATTAACCTTGAATTTATCTAGTGGCCCCCGGGAAGTGATGAGTAGTGCGAAGTGAAGGATTGCAAGTCTTGGCATAGCCCCTGGTAGAAACTTGAATGGTGAGAACGTGTTAAAGAACTTCAACCTTGGGAACGCACCGCCACCCTTGATTTCGCGGACGGCGTCCCACAGCGATAGCAGCTCCAGACTGATGAGCTCTGGCAATGCCCCAAGGAGATCCAGATCCTCCTCCTTTATGGCCTTTACGTACACAGATAAGCGAGAGAGCATTGGAACATGGGAGACGGTGATCCGTTTGGGCAGCCGTGGGCATGGGATGCTTGATAGGTGTAACTCACGGAGTTGTACAGGTGGGTAGAAGTCTTCCCAATTAAGTTCACTCCCTGATGTCCACCTATTGCCCATAATTCTTAGGACTTGTATTTTCTCTAGTTTTCTCATAGACTGCACCAAAGCATTGTTTTGGTTCTTATCCAACTCGTCAATCCAAATCTCAAGTTCCCTCAGCCCTGTCAGTTTGCCCAGCTCAGTCGTGAAGTCTGCGGACCTGCTGACCTCGCCCAGCCGCAACTCTTCTAAGGATGTAAGATTTTCCATCCAATCCGGCACTGCTGTGCCTTTATCAGCTCGCAGGCACTTGAGTTGCCGTAACCCAGCCACTCTCTCTGGCAATTCTTTCACACTTGTTCCCCTCAGGTCCAGTGTCTGCAGATAAATCAGGTCACCTATGTCTTCCGGTAGCTTTTTGATAGGTGTCTTATATAGTCCGAGGTACCTCAACAGAAGTAACTTCCCTAGATGAGAAAGATTTCCATCAAACAACGTACATTCTTCCAGAGCAAGGACGCGCATCAGCTTAAACCTTGAAACTGATAGTTCCATACTCAAATGACACCCCATGGTGTTAAATGACCTCAGCCTTTCTGGGCGAATGTTAGCCAGAGGGTCGCCCTGCTCCGCGTCCCATTTTTGGACAGCTAACCTGCGAGTCTTGCTTTCGACAGTCTTGTTAGCCAGAGGTTCTTGCTTGTTACTATCCAGTACGGTAATAAAGTTTTCTTCAGTTGATAAGGAACAGATCATATCGAGAACCAAATCATGGACACAGCAGCCAATTACCTTCCCAGGATTTGAGTCGTCCTCAACCGGCATGACCAGGTTTCTGTTTATGAGTTCCTTCAAGTATCCCTCTCCAAGCTCAAATAACCCTTTTCCATGCACCTCTGCAATTAAACCTTCGGCTGCCCATTTCCAGATCAAAGCTTCTTTCCTGATTATACAGTCCTCTTGAAACATGTGTAGATGCAATAAACATGCCCTCAAGTGATAAGGAAGATCGTAATAGTTAGATTTCAGTATCTTTCTTGTGTTGTCTTCAAACTCAGACCCGAAATCAATATTGTTGTACACCTTGGAACAATCATTCGTTGATTTTCCGACCAACAAACTAGCTGCTGTTATGATAGCCAGCGGTACAACATCACATTTCGACAAAATCTTAGTTGGCACCTCCCCTATATTGTGAGGGACATTTTTCTCACCATTGAACAGTCTTGCACTGAATAATTCTCTTGATTGCTCATCGGTAAGTTGTTTTAGCTGGTAAACTTCACCTCCAGTCTTGGCCACCAGGTGAATCCGAGTAGTTGTGACTACTCTACTTCCAAGTCCATTATCAACAAAAGCCAGTTTGATTATTTCCCACAAATTCACATCGCATATATTATCAATTGCGATCAAGTATCTGTGTATCAGCATGGTAGCACAAGAGTTAGGAGTTAATAAATCTGTATATAATTTATTAGCATTAAGACTTGCTAGTTGTTGAAGGTCAACACGTGAATAGACTTATAGGTATGGTATCAATATGATAGCTCAACAGTTAGGAGTAAATAAATCTTTATATAATTTCTTAGCATTAAGACTTGCTAGTTGTTGAAGGTCAACACGTGAATAGACTTAAAGGTATGGCTTAAGAAGTCTATACATGGACAGAGCGGACAACAACAATTTTTAGATATCTCCACTATTATTAAAAGAGCGAACATAAATTACTCAAAAGCCACACAATAAATTGTACACAAAATGACCAGGGCCCTCAAATCAAATCAATCTAAACACACTGTACAGTCCATATTTACGTTCATCTCCACTATTATTAAAAAAGCAAACATAAATTCCTCAAAAGCCACACAATAAACTGTACACGGAATGATCAGGGCCCTCAGATCAAATCAATCTAAACACATCCTACAGTCCATATTTACGTTCATCTCCACTGTTATTAAAAGAGCAAATATAAATCCCTCAAAAGCCACACAATAAACAGTACACAGAATGATCAGACCCTCAGGTCAAATCAATCTGAACAAATCCTACAGTCCATATTACATTCAGTGGTCTGCCATCCAGATCAACAGCTTGGATGAAATGTTCTGCCGAGCAGACACCGTCGTCTGCCAATCTTCTAGCGCCCGCGTCCCGGATCCCCGCCCTCAGCTCCTTGATTTTCGGCTCGATTCCACTCGTATCATGCCTCCCCGACCCTTCTTTCTCTCACTGGATCGAGAAATACAGATCGCCGCTGCTCCTCCCTTCCTCTCATTCCTTGCGCTCCCCCACCCCCCTCTAGTCGCCGCCCGCGTTCCTGCAAGCCCCCGTCGACCTCATATGTTGGTCAGCCGTGCCCAACGCTCTCCTTCCTTTTCTCTCCCTCTCCCCATTAATCTCTCTCCCTCTCTCTGTTCCCACACTGCAGGATGCCATGGGCACCAGAGGTCGGGGCACGCGACCGCGATGGAAACCATTGAAGACGCTGGCGAGGCTGAGGCTGAGGTCGGTGAGCCTGGCGGCAGCGGTTGGGTGCGCGTGGATCGCCAGCATGACACCCTTCGTCCAGCAGTATAACTTGGAGAGGTCGAGCGTGGTAAGTGCGGGGCAGGCCTGGAGCAGCGGCTCGAGATATGCGCCACCGTGGAGATCGACGTTGCGGAGCTTAGCCCGCCAGCAGTGCACGAGGCTGGCGAGCGTGGAGGAGTCACGACAGTAGATGGCAAGGTCAAAAACGAAGGGGAAGTAGGCGGCGGACGCGCCACAACGAATGCTTTCCGCTCGATAATATCTTGCGGGTGGAGCGGGAGGTGGTTGGAGGAGGAGGAGGCGGGTGCCCCCGCGATTCGCGAGGCTGAGGAGAACAACGGGTGTCCCCACAGCAAGCCCAACGAGAGGTCGAGTCTCTTGAGCGATGGGAAGCAGAAGGTCGGCGGGAGCACACTAGTGCAAAATCGAGCTTTAGTCCCGATTCGTAAGGACCTTTAGTCCCGGTTCTGCAACCGGCAAAGGGTGGGTCTCCCCCTTTAGTCTCGGTTCAACATGGCCTGGGACCAAAGGCTCACCACGTGGCACGAGCCCGCGCCGGGGGCTGGGGGACCTTTAGTCCCGGTTGGTAACACCAACCAGGACTAAATGGTTTTTTTTAATTTGATTTTTTTGAAAAAAAGTAGTCCAGGCTAGCGTCAGGCCAGGGCCCCATGAGCCCCTTTAGTCCCGGTTTGTGACACAAACCGGGACTATAGGTACACCGCGAACCAGGACTAATGATGTCGTAATCGAACCGGGACTAATGGTCACATTTGTACTGGGCCGTAATCGAACAGGGACTAATGAGGTGAACATAAGGTAGTTTTTCTACTAGTGGCAGCAGGAAGTTGGTGCCGCGACCTCGGGTCCCCGCGTAGTGCCATTCTAGAACCGTGTCGCCCGCTCCGCCGCCAGCAGCCTGCGGCACACCATCGAGACCCGATGCCGCGACCAGGGGTTACCCAGGAAGCCCAAGGAGTGGACAACGAGGAGGCGATGTGACGGCGAAGGCGACGAGAACGGCGTCGCCGGTGCGCTCAACCACCGCTGAAACCTTCTTTCTCAATGTTCAGTTGCACATCTTATCTCTGCATGTACACCCACCCGCAGCAACTCCTCTCTTTTAATTACCATGTTCAGTTGCACATCTTATCTTTGTCCTTGCTTTTTTTTATGTCTACTACGTACAGCCGATGTACTTTTTTCTTCTACCATTCTTTGTTAGTAAACGCCCTAATTTTTGTTATGCAGCATGTGTAGAATGGAGAAAAATGTACTTAGGGCATTGATAAGGAGGCTAAGCAGCAATTTTGCATCACGTGCAGAGTTACAGGACAACAGAGGATCCTCACCCACGATGATGCTTTTATTGGTTAACTCTTGACTATTGTGAATACGAAGTGTTAATTTTTCCAGAATTTGTTTAACGAGATTACTGTGCACACGACCCTTTGCATGATGATTTTCATTCGATCTTGTGATCGATGGCTGCAGCCCACGTGAACCGAGGTGATTGATGGCTGCTATATATTGTCATGTAGAAATCAGGCAGGAATCTGTTTTTGAACAGATGAGTTGTTATGCTTATGTACTTTTTAACTTCATCCCCAAAGTTTGGTACATGACTCTTGTATTTACCATGTTAGTCGGTGTAATGTGCATAAGACCTGGCTGAACTCAGTATGATCTATGCCCATACAGTGAGTTAACTTGTACCCTCCCTTCGCTTGCTGAGTTTGATTATTTTAGTAATTCAGCATTTCAAGTTATGTGTTGTTGATGCAATCTACTCTTCATGACTATTCAATGAAGTATGCTTTGCAAACTAAACATTATGGTTAGATTCTGCAGTGTTTTGTTTCAGGAGCTATTTGTGGCTGTACTACGGTAAGTTAATGTTTTTTTTTTGAAACTGGGCAAAAGATTTGCCACTTTCATTGATTAAGAAGAAGGTTTAGAGTTTTTGGCCAAAGGCCGAATTACAAAGACATCACTCTCGCGGCACTACAGTACTCAAATATTTGGCCCCTGCAAGGCACCAACACTTTGAAACATCTTTGATTCTTGCAACAAGAACCCCAACCGGCACCGCGGTGTTACGGAAGACGCGTGCATTCCTCTCGTTCCAAATTTCCCATGAGATCAACATAATAAGAGACATCATCGCCCGTCGAGACTGCGATGCGTTGGAGTCAATGAGGTTCCACCAGGCTTTCACCGAATGGACCGTCACCCAAGCTGTAGGGTTCACATCAACCAAGCCAAGCCAAGATTTGATCATTTCCCAAACTCGAACCGTGTAGCGGCATTGGAAAAGGAGGTGAGCCGCGGTTTCCTGAACTTGCTTGCAAAGGGCGCATCGATCACAGTTAGGCCATCCACAGCGTTGGAGCCTGTCGGCCGTCCATATCCTATTATTGATCACAAGCCGAGCAAAGAATTTGCATTTGGGGGGAGCCCAGATCTTCCAGACCAACTGTTGCATGTTGGAGTCAACTAAGCCCAGGAACTGGACCTTGTAGGCCGAGGACGCGGAGTAAGAGCCATCATTAGAAAGCTTCCAAGAGATAGAATCAGCCACGTCGGCTTGTAGGTATGTTAATGTGAAATCCTCCAATCTTGTTATCTATTATCTAGGCAGATGTATTCGATACTATATATTATGAGTTGATGTGAATTCCCATAATTTTTTTTCTGTAAGTATGTTGGAACTCACCTACAAGATCGATCATATTAAAGTAGTCGAACGCACACATTCAAAAACTTTTTGCCAAAGGTACGTGTCGTGCCTATACTCTCTTTATTTCTTTTTCTCCTTTTCTCCGCGATACAATTCTGTAGCCCCTATACGTGTATATATATACACGGCCATAGAAGCAAACACAGCACAGTACTACTCGGACGCAGACTCCTAAACTCACGTCTTGCTTGGCTTAAGTTCCTAATCCTACACGGACGTGCACATCACAGTCCAACTCCAACTTGACTCCTATCTGGACTCGATTAACTACAAGTACTCTACTAGCACACAACTACTACGTACTACACTTGTCAATTAACTACTCAATCAAGATGCGAATCAACCTGTGGTTGAGTTGGTTAGGTGGACAGTGGTATCCCCAACCCACCAGGGTTCAAATCCTGGTGCTCGCATTATTCCTGAATTTATTTCAGTGGGATGAGACGTTCCCGTCGACGACGAGGCGCCTACGGCGGCTCAGTCTCTCGGAGGTGCTCATAGGGGTAGGATGTGCGTGTGTGCGTTCATCGGGATGAGTGTATGCGCCTGTATATCTAACAAGGTAGTCAAGATATTTTTAGTCTGCATAATTGTACAAGCATTTTTTAAACTGAAACTTGTGTTGCCTATTGTGTATACTATATTCTACGTAATCAGATTCTCAAAGGTGTGTTGCCATCGAAGATGAAGGCTAGATGTTCTGCTCTTGTGTCTGAACAACCTGTAGTTGCACGAAGTTTTCTCTTAACAGTTTTCAGTGAACTTGCCCATGATGTATATACAATATATACAGTTCCATTAAAGTTACTTCTATGTTCTTTTGTTGTAAAAATACATCGGCTCATGGTCACTGAATAAACTCATGTTGACTATTGTCGTCGGAGGTAAAGATGTAGATGAAGATATTGTGATACCGAGGTACATAAAAATGGAATTGAAGAGAAAAATTAGTGTTGGTGTTGATATGCTTGACCGAATTGTATTATGGTGCGCGCATTCTTCAGGTGTGCACGTGTACATGATTGCTTGAAAATACCAATTGGTCGGCAAGTTTGGATTATATCTAACTAGAACGACATGTACACTGCTTCATTGACAAGTTTGATTTTTTTTTCTAGCTAGATGATGATAGCTACACGAGTGATCAAGATGATAAATGTGTTCACCTACATTTTGGGTGCAAGTTGCACAGATTTTTTTGGGCACCTTAGTAGACGTTCCAGACTATCTCATAGATTTTGTCCTGTGAAGTTGTATCAATCATTTCATATGCTCGAGTGCCTATAATATATGAAATATGTTCAATGTCTAATTTACTTTCACGTTTTGTTGTATATGGATCCAGAGCCAACGACCAGATGTTGTCTATGTGTGTGTTACTTAAGTGTCAATCTGCGGGACGAAATTGACTAAGGTATGCAATGCGTTTTTGTTAAGTATGTATGGTTGAGAAGTCCATTGAGACTGTGTCCTATAACTAGGATGATGGAGAAAATTTCTCTGTATGATTATACGTGTGTGGCACGTGCACGCTTACTAGTATTTGAAAGTACACCGAGTAATCCACGTTGCGCATTCTGGCAAGGTTTTTGCTTGCATAAACAATTGAACCATCCTATATATACTCCCTCTGTCCGGAAATACTTGCCGGAGAAAGGGATGTATATAGACATATTTTATTTCTAGATACATCTATTTTTATCAGTTTCTCCGATGAATATTTCCGGACGGAGGGAGTATAAGAGAAACAACTTTAGCAAATGAATTACTATCACGCACTCAAGTCTTTGGTTCTAGAAACAGTACTCATTTATTTACTGCTTTGTGAATTCTCATGTTCATCTAAGTCCTTAATCACTTGTTGTATCATTTATTTGTGACCACCCAATTTTTATGTTTATGAATGCTAGTAATAATTTTCTACAGACTAAAAAATAGTAAGTAGAATATTTTAATTGTCTATGCATGTATATTTAAGTTCTGTCTTTTTGTGCCAACCAGGTATCTATCCATTGCATTAGATTATTATTGGTTCATTTGATGAGGACTAACATGTTTAAATGAGATATAACATGTACTTGTTATTTTTATATAAACTAACAATTAACATGTGTACCTTTGTTTTTGCAAGATTTATCTAAGTCCAACTATAATGATCTATCGATTGTGTGTTTAGACACAAAGATCTATCTGTTATAACATGTTCATGTATAGTTACGAAGGTCTAACATGTGACATGTTTTAAAGCCCAGTTATGTAGCTCTAACAGATACGATATGTTTAAGCAGGGTATGTGGATCTAATAGATGCAACCAGTTTAGGTACGTTTATGTAGATCTAATGTTATGACATGTTTACGCATAATTATGAAAATCTAATTGGCGAGATCTGGTTAGATACAGTTATACCGATGTTAAGGATGTGGTCTACTTAGGTGTGGCTCCGTAAATCTAATGGTATCATATGCTTAGGTACAATTATGGAGATCTAATGGATGTGAACTGTTTAGATACGATTATGTATATTCAATGGGTATGATTTTATTTACAATTATGTAGATCTAACTATTGTGTTATGTATATCCAATGGGTATGATTTTACGTACTTATAAATATAATAGACTACCAGTAGGATTTATACATGAATATTAACTTAGAAATGAAAAATGGAATAAAAAGGTAATTTGATATTCATTTGATATGCAATAGGTCACGATGGAAGAAATAATAAACTTGTCAAGTGTCAAATGTACCAACACGAATGTGTAGCTTGTGCCAAGAAAAAAACTAAGAAACATGCATACGAGGTATCCACATAAATGGTTTTGGCTGTATAAGAAAAAAAATATCACCATGAGTGGAGTGCAAACTTTCATGAATTATTCATCACTGGTCGAGTTTATGAGTAGCGCAACTGACTATGAAGTGGTAGATTGGGAAGGAAATGAAAGAATTTAACAACGTATAC